TGCAAAATACTTTAAAATTTGACTTATAGTATTATACTATTTAAGTAAATAAGGATATCTAATACTTTGTAGAGTAAAATTAATAATTTTAGCTTATCTAGCAGTGTAGGCTTGCTTGCACTTTTCAGTGTTTTCAAATCAGCTTCTTTGTTAGGGTGCTTTGTGTTCATAGGCACAGAAAAGTAAAGGCACACGTAAAGTTGGCACAGAAAAGACGTACAAAAATTACACAAGCATACAGTTAAGTAATTCAATAATATAAATCTTATCAGTTTTATATAATAGAAAACAGTTTTGCAAGGATTTTGGATACATTTGCAATTTGTATGGTCTAGACTGTTTTTAGGGTGGAGTTAACATCGTTTCGACAAAGTTGGGGAATTTTTAGGTCCATGCTCACAAAAAGTCAATGGTGTGAAAATGGGTAGATGTATACCTGGATGCTGTTAAATGGGGACCCCCCTATACTGCTTGGATCCATTTGGTAGATCCAGAAGATTTCTATAACAGGAAATGCATGTTGCCTATATTGTCTTGAGTTATTTAGTCAAGCTAATATCAAGTGTATTTATAGGACCCCAAAAGGGTTTTTGTAGTGTGAGTCTTTTGTAAAACATGCTATGCAGTGGGTGTCTATTGTCTCTGATTTGTATTGTAAAGAAGAAATGCTGTTGAAGCACATGCTTTTTCAATAGTGTAATGTGCTTGTGGATCTGACAGGTAACAGTCATGTCAGGTGACAAAGGCTCGAACACAGAAGCGGGTGTAAAAAGGTCAGAAGAGGACAAGAAGCCGACAGAAGAGCCTCCGCAGAAAAAGAGACAGCCAGAGGAGGAAGCAGTAGAACAGGAGGAAGAAGATGATGAAGAGGAGGAAGACGAAGAGGAGGAAGAGAAAGGTAAACTCTTGCATTTGCAGATCTGTTTTACACTTAGGTAAAATCTTTCTCTGATAAGAGATGTTCACTTAATTTAAATCTGAGAATGTTTTATTAATGCAATCAGTGGGGGCTACAGCAAAAAACTCAGTTTTTCAGGAAATGAAGTTTCAGGAAGAGGGATATGTTCTTGTTTCTGTTTCAAGAGGTAACATGTTTGTGCTTTGGCAGTTAGGTTGCTGTTTTGTTTAAAACACCAGTATTTAGGGACTGCTCATTCTGGGACATCCTGGTTTCTAATGGTTGAAGCATTAACAGCTCTCCCTAATGACTGCAGTTGATCCCTATGTGGAGCAGATGTTGCGTGTTGTTTGACATTTTTTACTAGCCGGCTGTGATGGGAATTTCTTAAATCAAGAGTCAAGAGTGTTGCTGTGGTAAGGGTAGACATGAGTGCAGCAGTCCCTTCAGCATTCAAATAAGTGACTGCTGTGACTTGCTGTGTTGCTGTGACTGCAGTTAGTGATGAGCAAGCCTTGAAACTATTGATTTCATTGCACTTAGTTGCATTAATTTGCAGAAATTGCTTTTATACGAATAAGTGCAGCTAAATTACATCTCAATAGTGCAAAAACTGCGATTCTATGATCTGGAGTGCACTCTTGTCTTCTGAACTTGTTTATCTCTATTTTTCCCTTTTTGAGAGCTTAAATTGTATATTTTGTATTTGCCATTTTGTTTTTTGAGGTTTTAAGATGACAAAAAATGATTCCAAGTTGGGTGTGCAAATATGATCGACAAAAGTATTTCCAAAAATACCAATATTTAAAACAAAACTAAAGGTATGTTAAATGAGCATTGAAACAGTCAGCATTTAGGCTTCACACTTGTAGTTTGGTAATAAATGATATGAGAGCAAGTTGTGAATGGTTCTGTAGACGACTGAGCGATGTACCGAAAATTTACCGATACTGGCGTTGAGAATCTCTCACCAACCTAATTTTGCTTATGTTGGTATGTTTGGTTAAAGCTTTCCCCACTGGGTGCTTTTATGAGCAGTCCCCTTAAAAAACTACAACACCCAGTCATATCCAGTCAGATGCTTCTGCCTCGTCCAACCTTCATTCTTCATTCAAAACACAAAGAAGCATGAGACAACATGAGCGCTTATGCTGAACACCAGTCAGGTATGGATGGCTCAAGTACAAATGAAGACGATCTGGTATCTAAAAAAGATGCGGTGTCGGATCATTTGGTTGTATTTTGGCTTCAGCAAACAGCATACTGAACAAAAAGAAGTCGGATGTAAACTGTTGCAAAACTGTTTCTGCGCCCAAACGTAACACGAACAAGTTGTTGCTCACAAGAAACACAACCATGTCGTGGAATACGAAGAGTACATGGCCAAAAAAAAGAGAGACTGACAAACGCACTCATGGCCGAAGTCATTCCCCCCAAACAGCTGTCTCTAACACAAGCATTTAAACTCTGCCAAGAAACAGTAAAAATCCCAGATAGAACACCACAACAACACCAACACTAACCTAAGACGCATGTGGCAAGACATAAATACAATCACAAGCTACAAGAGCAAAACAAGCCCTGTAAGCGCTACTGACCCCCCTCTTCCAAACAAGCTTAAAACCTTCTACGCACGCTTCGAAGCTCAAAACCCTGAACCAACCACCTGGACCACTGACTCCCCTGCCACCCCAACCCCCACACTATCCAAGCTATATGTGTGGACATCACTAAGTAGAGTGAACACGCATAAAGCTGCTGGACCTGATGGTATCCCTGGCCTGGTACTCAGAACATGTGCCTGGCAGATAGCTGATGTCTTGACTGACATCTTCAACATGTCCTTGGCCCAGGCCACTGTACCTAGCTGCTTCAAGACAACCACCATCGTGCCAGTACCAAAAAAATCAGCCCCCACATGCCTAAATGACTACCGCCCTATTGAACTCACCCCCATCATAATGAAGTGCTTTGAAAAACTACTTATTCTGCACATTAAAGCCAGCATTCCAAAAACACTGGATCCTCTCCAGTTTGCCTATCACACAAACCGCTCCACAGAGAATGCAATCTCTATAGCTTTACACACCACACTAACCCACCTGGATAAAAGGAACACCTATACAAGAATGCTGTTCATTGACTTTAGCTCAGCATTTAACACCATCATACCCATAAAACTTTCTACCAAACTCAGGGCTCTAGGTTTAGATACAACCCTCTGCAGCTGGATCCTAGACTTCCTCACCAGCAGACCCCAGATTGTCAGGATTGGCAACCTCACCTCCAACACAGTCACCCTTAACACCGGTGCCCCTCAAGGCTGTGTGCTCAGCCCACTGCTTTACTCCCTGTTCACCCACGACTGTACTGCTTAGTTCAGCACAAACACCATCATCAAGTATGCTGACGATACCACAGTTGTGGGCCTGATCACTGACAATGATGAGACTGCCTACAGGGAGGAGATTAAACAACTTGTAGACTGGTGCCGAACCAACAACCTATGTCTCAACATCAGCAAAACCAAAGAGCTGATTGTTGACTTTAGAAGACAAGGAAAAGTTCGCTCCCCCATCTACATAGAAGGGTCTGCGGTGGAGATGGTGAATAACTTCAAATTCCTAGGTGTTCACATCTCTAAGGACCTTACATGGACACTGAACACATCCAGTCTCATCAAGAAGGCACAACAGCGGCTGTACTTCCTGAGAAGGCTGAAGAAAATACACCTACATCCACTGATCCTCACCAACTTCTACAGATGTACGGTGGAGAGCATACTGACCAGCTGCATCACAGTCTGGTACGGCAACTGCACCGCATCCGACCGTAAGGCACTACAGCGGGTGGTCAAAACTGCCCAACACATCAAGGGCAGTGCCTTACCATCCATCCAGGAAATATACAACACCAGGAGTCTGCAAAAAGCTACCAAAATTATGTTTGACCCCACTCACCCCAGTCATAACTTGTTTGTTCCCCCACCATCTGGCAGAAGGTTCTCTAGTCGACTCCAGTTGCACACAACTAGACTCCAAAATAGCTTCTTCCCCAGAGCTGTCAAGTTGGTGACGCCCCCACTCCCTTCCATCATATTGTGATCTCTCCTAACGTCTTCCTGTACCCACAATGACTGTACTCCTTCACCATTACACACACATGTAAGCCGAAATTGTACTGTCCCCTCGATAGCCCAGTAAAACTGTACCAGTCATAATAATATTTAATATTTATTAATTAACCATACTATTTTTAACCATATTATTTTTGCACTGTTCCAAGAATTACCTTGCACTGTTTTTGTCCAGATATATTTTCTCTGTTTGTGGAATTTTGCACAGTTTTGATTACTTGATTACATGTTATTTATGTTATGTTATTACATGTTACTGTTATTGCTATTATGTTACTGTCTATTGTCTTATCTTCTGTCCTATTTATATACTGCACCTGAGTGACTAATGAGAAACTTGTCATTATACTATGCACCTGTGTAAGTTTAATGACAATAAAGTTGAATTGAATTGAATTGCTACTTAATATGCAAAAGATTAACGCAGATGGAATGAGATGACTAACGCCATTACAACATTGTTTGTATGTAAGACATTGAGATCAGATGAGGTGTGTAGCTTTAATAGTTTTGAAAATTTAAAACATGATCTTTCAGCATGTCTTGTAATCATATAATTTCAAGGGTTTAAAAAAATAGTTAATTTGTCATTATAGAGGTAAATCTGTGAAATTATCGTGATATTGATTTGAGGTCATATCACCCAGCCCTAGTTCTGTATATTTTAATATGGTTAAAACTGTTTGGTTTTAATGACTTTAACCTTTTTCAGAGAAAAGCCTTGTAGTAGAAGGAAAGCGGCAGAAAAAGAAGGTGATGAGACTGGATTTCCAAATCTCCAAATCAAGGGAACCACTGTCCATTGAAGCAGGTCATCATCCAGTTTGCATTTTAAATTTAATTTTGTTTTGCAGTTATTGAAACTGTTTTTCTGTATTTTTTTCAGTAATGCCTCAAGATGTTAAGGCTGAACAGAGTGACTTAAGTACATCCAGTGTTTTGGGTTTGTGCAGCATAATGATTTTACATGTCATATCTGTTCACATGAACTGTATTCACATGTGCTTTAAAAAAGGCATTTCATGATAAATTTGAAGTTGTTATAAGGGAATTTGTTTTGCTTTGTATTTTTTTTGCATTTGTTCTCATCCCACTGGTAATTTGCCTTTTTTGCACTGTTTGACTAAGTTAAAATTTATCAATTGCTTTTTTTCAAATGCACTTTCATTAACATTTGCAGGGCTTGAGGTTACTTAGGGAATTTACTGAATTTAGCAATGCAATAATCAAGAAAGCCCTACAAACTGTAGAAAAGGAGGGGCATCGTAATGTAGAAGCAGTACCTTAGAGCAAGTGGAAGTGTGCCTTTTAGAGTTCTATGTACAGATATACCAGGATGAAAATGAAGAAAAGGTCTGTAAAACCTTTAATTCAGTCTGTAGTTTGAGCAGTGGTGATGTGGTGACATTTGTTAACTTTCAGACAGAACTCTCTGAATCTGTTTTGTAGTCAATATTTGAATGCTTTAGATAAATGTGTAGTAAATTAAAAAAATAAAACCATTGTAAAGCTATTTAATTGGGCAATGGACCACAGCATGTGGACAGTACAGCCTGTATACCTTGTGGCCTACAGGGTCTGGAATTCTGCAGCAGGAATGTGGGACCATTCTTCCATAAAGTGTTGTTCTAGACTATCCTGTAAGTACTCGTTTAGGTTCAGATCTCGTGGCTGTGTTATCAGTATAGATAACATCATGCTCATCAAACCATTGGGTGACCTCACAGTACCATTAGGTGGTGATTAGCATTGAATTTGCTTTCTGAGGGAAAGAGGGCACCTTGGTGTCGGTGTCTCCCTCAGAGGTACAACCAGAGCCACCTTAAACACCTTTGTTCATGAAACATCAGCAAGTTAAACTCTCTGAATCGCTGAAACAAACTGCAACAACCACCCCTCTTTCAGAGTCACTGAGGTCTCCTGCAACCATACTAAGCCATAGGCAACCAGGCCTGTCAGCATTTGTATACTTGACCCTAAGCATGGTGGTCGCTTAAAGCATGAGACAATGGTGTGGAAGTGCCTACTTTCAATATACTTGATGTTCCATTTACCCAGGTGTTTATGTTTTTGTCCATTTCCTGTATATTTAATGAGAAACCGGTACAACCGGTGATCAAACGAGAAGACACCAGCTGTAGTGCAGTAACCCAAAAAAATTTTAAATATGTGCATCTTCTGAGCAGGTTTAGAGAGAATCTCTAGGTATTTTCCTGATTTTGCCTAAAAGCTGGAAAGATTTTCAATTAGAAAGCGAAGCTGTCTTTAAAAAGACAGTTTGACATTGTAATGTATGTGTTAATCTTTGTAATCACAAGTATTTATACATTCACTGTCACCTTGATATTTTGTACTAAGTTATTTTAATGAATAAGTACTGTTTAAAGTATGACTTAACACTTTCTTAAACATAGTCTTTGGTCAGAAAGAAATGAAAGGGAAACTTAAATTGTAATTAAATTTCTAAATTAAGAAGTTCCTGTTCATTTAAATTAATTTAAATGTAATGAGTGACATTCTGGTTTTAACGTTATGTATTAAAATTATTCAGTCAATTGACCTATACATTCAGTGCTCTGAAACTAGTCTTGGCATTTTTAAGAATCTTTCATCTTAAATCATGTGTTCTTCATAATAGAAATTACTGATCGTGACAATGCAGTAATTTAGTTAATAAGCCTAAATTTCATTGAGCACAAGTTGAAGTAGATATTTGTTTTACAATTTTTATTTCAGTTCAGGCTGACTGAAAGTACACTGTTGCAGTGATGTGTAACGCAAAAAGCCAAACTGGCTGGGGGTTGAAGTAGTTCAAAGTTGTGCTTGTGCTTATTGGTAATGTGCAGTAGCAGCACATTGTCCAATTTTGTATTTTGTTCATTACATAAACACTTTATTCAGCAGAAATCCTTGTTAGGAATCGGTATATTTCTTTTGGCCCTGCTGGCTTGTTCTCAGTTACTACCAATGGGGTATCCCCAAGGAGTGATCATGTGTCTGGAACTGCAGCATTATAGCCTCTTGTTTCAGAGTGATGCTGTTGTGCAAGTGCATTAATGGATGAATTCTTGAATTGCTTTGGTACTGTAATTGTTACAAAAACTCTAATTATATAACTTTTGTTGATTCTTTCCTTTTTCAGGTAAAGGTGAAAAGTTGGGAGACATCGAGAGAATAAAGTATTTCATAGGAAAAATTAAAACTCATGACCTGAAACCTCTTCACAAGCTTCTATATAACCGGCCAGGCGCTGTAAGACTTCTACCCTTTTCTCTTTATCTGTCACTTCATCAAAAAGTAATCAATCATTTAAGTATTTGTAAGTTACCTGTGAAAAGTTTGTGTTCTCTCTGTGTTCTATTTGGGTTTCCACCGGGTGCTCCTGTTTCCTCTCATAGGTTAGAGACATATTGGTAGGTTAATTGGCCCTGTTGTGACTGTTTGCTCTACCATGGAATGGTGCCCCATCCAGATGTGGCTCCCTTACAGTCCTGGATTGGAAAAAGCATTTAGAAAATGGATGAAAGATGTCCTAAAAGAGCTGTGTGCTGCAGTAATGACTCATTGCTCAAGGCTATAGCTATGCACCATGCATCTGAACTTATTGTGCCTTTTGTTGGCAATGATTAGTTTCTTGGTTTTAGCAATCAGAAACCCACCTCATAAAGTATGATTGTTTTAACCTCGCATCCTGTATATCCTTAAAAGTCCCCAGATAGTTTAATATAAGCTGAAATAGAATCACATTGTTTAGTCTCCAGAATCCAAATGCCTTAAAGACTGAAAGCTGGAGTACTGGAGCTGTAGTAAAATTATTTCGTTACCTGCTTAACAAATCGTAATATAACTATACTGTTAGCTTACTATAATGTAAACCCAGTCAATTTGATAGATTGTCAACTATTATAAACAGTTCTAACAATATTGTTAATTGGAATAATACAGACTGTGAAACAATTACTTCAGGTTCACATAATAATCTGATTGGATATTAAAGTCTTTGTGGGGTAATGATGATGCACTTATGTTTCAAAATAAGTGTCAGAAGGCTGCACTTGGATCTTAAAGAATCAAAAATACAGACGTGGCCTGTGTCATGGAGTAAAGGTCAATCTTTTACTGTTTTGTGAAGTCTCAATGCTCTCTTTGCGTAGGACGCTTGATTGGAAATTCACAGAAATATTGTGAGCGACAAGAAAAGAGTCCCACACTAGAGTTGCTGCCATTTTTTTCCTAAGTAATTGGTGAAAAGTTTTGAGAAGCAGCAAAGGTACAGGTTAGCTTTTAAGTAGTGGTTTTATTATGACAGACTTAAAAAAAATAGTAATAATGCTTGAAGATGGAATGTCAGTGTTCTTCTCCTTTAATGTTCGTGACCTGAGGTAACCTGCCTGCCAGATTTCTGCACCTTGGGGCAACCTTGTTGTGAAAGGTGCTATATACAAATACATTGAATTTAATTTCTCATTTTGATCATTTATGTTGCCTGATTTTAGACCTGCGTGTACAGCTGTGGATCCTTAGGGCTCTGTGTTAACCAGGAGTTCACAGTCCATAGTATCCCATAGTGTAATTTATAGTATTTTAAGATTTCCACTGCTGGGGTGTCTTCAACTACTTCTCTCACTCTTACTTTTTTCCCTCCAGTTCCCCCTCTTACATTCCATGTTCTCTTCTCAGGGCATCACTTCTGTTGCTGTTGCTCTTTACATTATGAACTGTTGAATTCATAATCCCTTTACTCATGTACTCTCCTTTCCTAGAACAATAGTTAGACTTGCAAAGTGAAACAGCTCTGTTCTTTCCTCTGTGTAGTCTTTGGCTCACCTTCAATATGGCTCTTTCCCTGTATTTTCACAAGCTAATGTCAGCTCATCAGTGGTCCCTAGGGTTGCAAGCCCTGCCTCACCTATTGCCTTTATAGAAAATAAAGTGCTTCCTTAGGAGCATGAGATGTCCTCCTCTGTACTGTACTGACTCAATACAGCTTCTTAAAGGCCTATTAAGGTCAGACACCTTTGTGTGTTCTTTTGTGTGGTGTCTGTGACAGTCTCTACATAACCCTCACTTAACTCACTGAAGCTCACAGGTCTTGTTAGCTAGCTCAACCATAGCACTTCAGAAGAAGCTTGTGTGTTTAGCTTTCCTCCACTGGGCCCAGGCTTGGTACAAAGTGCCCTTCTGTCTGACCGTCTCTTAAATACCTCTTTTTTTAGCAAGCTTATTTAACATTTTCTTTTACTTTTCTGTGGTGGTGCTGTGCTCTTCTATTGGTAATCCACTACTGGCTGCAGTTTGTCTGAATTTATACTCTACAGTGTTTTTGTCCCAAAACTGTTTTTTTTATTTAAAGTTCAAATATGAAACCCCCTCAGTGCAGTGTTAGAATATTTTATGGGCAAAAGAAAATATGTAGACAAAACTGTAATTGCCATATACTTAAGATGGTAATAGACGTGAGGAGGCCATTCAGAGGCCAGTGCATGCATCAGTTTCCGTAAAAGATAGAAATCTGGAGAATGTTTACTACTAATAAGAGAGAAGTGGTGTCCATTCTTGCCAAATGTCCGTTAAATCATAAAATGTTTTTTCAGGCCAAAAAACACTATTGTATGAGAATAAAATGTGTATTAATAGATAGTAGTAGTACTATGCATTCTTGATTTTGAGATTTAACAATTGTAACTAACCCCTGTGACTTAAGCGTACCTCAAATCCTGCAGATTTGCTCCTCTAGTACTTTGCTGCAGAGCTTACAGTGTGCTTAAGATAGGTGAATCAGTGGGCAGGTCAGCGGGAGCCAAAAAGCATAATTGATAATTCCAATTTGGATTAGTATAGAATTAAAAAAATAACTGCTCACCATGAAACAAAATTCTGCCAAATTCATTATAACTGCTGTATAAGTGTAAGTAGTCTTAAAATGTGTATGACTCTGAAGCAATGTCTTTTTTTTGCATTAAAATGTTCATTTGAAATATTTCATCTTCAGGAAAAGACTTTAAAGAGAAATTTACGTCTCTTCAATGGGTTTGCATTTGAGAAAAACAGTGACCCCTACAATAAAAAAGTGGAATCTCTTAAAAGGTATTTTTCCTGATTTCAGATTTTTCTATTTTCTTTTTTTTCCAGTAATGGTGACAGATAGGCTCACATTACAAGTAACAGATATAAAGTTATGTGGTTTGTAGAGCACAGCTAGAAGGCTGTTGACCTCCATGGATCTGCATTTCTTAAGTTATCTGAAATTAAGCCTTTGCTAAAACTAATTGATAGATCTTGCGTAATTCAATTGTGGATTCTGACAGTGGCCGTCTATGTTTTTAATCTGCTATTTAAACTGTGTAAGTTTTGCTTTTTTATAACCTCATAAAAGGGTGCTCATAGGGAGGAATTGTGGATTTAATTAACTGATGTCTGGGACATGTATGAACAACTTGATGTACTGCTAGAGGTAGAACTGTTTTTGTGATAGTATAGGTTAAACGTAAAGTGCAGTTGTGATTTTGCTTGCCTGCTGTACATTTTGGCAGTAGAAACCAGAAAATTGAGTCTAAAGTCATAATCTTGTTGCTCATTTAATATTTTCTGAAGAAAAAACCCTTGCTAAGTGTATGTTTTTGTCATTTGTACAGGCTTACGAATGCAATGCTGAAGAAGTTATGTCTTGCCCTTGATCTGGAAAGAAATGGAAAGCATGATGAGCTTATAGACAGAATCATGACTTTCCTTTTGAAACCAAGGACAACAGGAAAGGTATGCTATGGTTTGATCTTTATTTGCTAAATTATAAGGATATATGTACGCTCCTGATGACCCTGAAATAACCACTCGCTGGCCTTTGGAAGCAGCAAGAACAGTATGTGTTCCAAATACGAGGAACCAATCCCATACCATTCTTTCAGCATGGTCACTTTCATTTGAGGTTGTGACAAGAATAGTGGCGTTTGGGATTGACTTGCTGTTCTCCCGTTTTCATAAGAATTGTCTTTTTTTCTTTCTGAAGTCGCTGACAGCTTGTGGGTGTCCAGCAGGTCTGAGAAGTCGCTGTTATAAAGCTACTCGGAAGCACTGGCTCATTCAAGCCTACCTTTCCCCAGAGCATATCTGGTCAAGTACCACTGCTAGGGCAATCCATGCTACAGTTCATTATTTGAACTCTGATCAAAAGCCTTCACAGGTTGAGCTATTTGGAAGTAGACTTATAAGAACAGAGTCAGAGGTTCTGAGGTTAGAATTATTGACACAGTCTTGCTCCTGCAGGAGGTTCTTTTGCAGAAATACTAGAGAGGAATGCACAAGAGAATTCTAAATAAAACTTTTTAATGTGAAGAAGTAGGACTGGGCGATATGACTTCAAATCAATATCATGATAATTTCACACATTTACCTCGATAATGATTAACGAATAATTTTTTTTTCAACCCTTGAAATTATATGATTACGCGATATGCTGAAAGATCATGTTTTAAATATGCGAAACTATTAAAGCTGTACATACCTCATCTTATCTCAATGTCTGTCATCAATCTTGCTTGTCAGTCTCTTTTTTTTTTGGCCATGCACTCTTCGTATTCCACAAGTGATGAAACAAGTTGCTCATGTTACGTTTGGGTGCAGAAACAGTTTTGCGACAGTTTACATCTGACTTCTCTTTGTTCAGTATCCTGTTTGCTAAAGCCAAAATATGACCAAACGATCGACACTGCATCTTTTTTAGATACCAGCTAGTTTTCATTTGTACTTGAGTCATTCCTGCCTGACTGGGGTTCAGCATGAGCGCTCGTGTTGTCTCATGTCCGGCACGCTTCTTTGTGTTTTGAATGGAGAACAAAGGTTGGATGAGGCAGAAGCATGTGACTGAATATTACTGGGTGTCGTAGTTTTTTAAGGGGACTGTTCATGACAACTCACAGTGATGAAAGCTTTTACTGTACATACTGACATAGGCAAATTTAGGTCATTGAGAGATTAACGTTCATATCGGTACATTTTCGTTATGTCGCCCAGCCCTATAAAGTTAATTTAATTTTTAAGCTCATGTGCTAACAATAAAATATTAAATTTCAAGGAAGTGTCTACAGAAAATTGTTTTCTTTGTTATATTAGTTTATGAGTGCAGTTAAAGGTTTTGTTAATAAATTTCTTAATAGACAAACTGACATAAGATGGATAATCACTTTGCATTGGCATTCTCAGTTTCGTATACTCGAAACAAAACATTAGTCCATTGCAAATGTATTTTTCTGTTTTGCAGTTTTCATTGGGTGACTGATATGATTAATCTTGCCTTGTATTTAACTGCATTCAACACTTTTTGAAAAGGTTGCACATCAGTCCAACACATTAAATGTTTTTTTCTAGACAACTTTAAGTGAGAAGGTCTCTGAAAATGGTCATTTGCTGCAGGGGAAAATGAGTAGTAGAGATGGTGGTGGCTTCCTGTGCTCAGTGTGGGAAATTTGTTTGAACTTTGGATTTGGACATGGGTCTCATCGGTTAAAAATGCTAACTCCCAGTGCCTTGAAGAACAAGCCTGTGTGGACTGGACTTGACAGCCTTTTTCAGATGGGGCTTATTTTCTCCTCCTACCATTACCAGCCTCTGCCAAAGAGCAAGAAGAAGAAGCCTAAGAAAGGGGAGAAAAGGGGCAACAAAAGCCGTTCTCCTAGCAAGGCAAAGGCCAAAGTGACAAAGAAGTCAGAGGAGATTGTGATGGAGACCAGCAGCGAAGAGGATGAAGAGGAAAGCAAGGAGCAGGCCTCGGGGAAAGAGGCTGTTCGGAACGTGCAGGAGAAGGAGGATGATGAGGAAGAGGTGAGCAAGACCTCTAGTGTCTCTGCCCCCCCCCCCCTTGAGTATCTGGTCTCAAAGTGCAAAAGCTAGAAGTTGTAGGAATTTAGGTCATTCCACCAGATTACTTTTTGCTTCTGTTTTAGCTAGTCATGTTGTATCTAAGGTCGTTCTCACCAAGTATTCAGACCAGATCAAATTTATGTTGGCTTTAGTTGCAGCTCACTGTATTTTCAGAATTTTGTATGGGGATCATAAGATAACTCTTAATTGCATGAGAAACATTAAATCCATCAATATGGTCTGGCAGCCTGATAGGCTTCTGTCAGTTTTTCTTATATAAGTCTAGACGCACACAGTTACACTGAGAGGTATTCAGATTCAGAAGAGACCTCAAACAGAGAAGGTATATAAAATTAGATACGGCAAAATTAAATTGATTTTAACATGGAATGTGTTTTTTAAATATTGAAATCACAAGGAATTATAAGGAATCAAAATTGGATTTTAAGAGCATAGTGTGTTATACAAAACATACATCTTTGGTTAATATTCACTTTCTCTCCAAGAGCTTGAAGTGTTGTTGAAATGGATGGCTGATGTTTTTTTTTCCTGGACAACAGGAGAGCCCTAAACCTCAAAAAAAGGGCCAGAAACGGGGGAAGACAGAGAGCATCAGTGCAGTAACAGCTAGGGAGAAGCGCGAGGCTAAAGGAAAGAAAAAGGATCCGTCTAGTGATGAGGTTTCAGAGGTATCTGATCTGTCTTCTGAAGATGTCAGCTCTGATGAAGAAGAGGAGGTAAGCCTAAGTGCTAGAACTTTCTTTCTTTCCACAGGGACAAAGATCAATGGAAAGTTGTGTGTAAGTTAAAATGTGAATGTGTAAGTTTATTTAATATTTAAGCATAGTCGATACACATGCAGAGTAATCTAATGCTAATGTTAGTGTATTATACAGTGCCCTTCATGTGTTTTGTGACTGTAAAGTCATTTGTTATATTTGCTGTATACTTAATCTGAATTGGTTTGAAATGAAAAAATGAATATAAGGCAAAAGTATGGAATATCACCTTTTATTTCTGGGTATTTATATGCTTATATGTTGTACCACATTAGAATAACAGCACTTTGTATTCAGTCTGTGAATTGAGAATGCTCTTTATATGGTATTTGTGATAACCCCACAAAATTCAAGTAGAATATTGTGCTTATGGTTTCACTTAAAGAAGTCCTAAAATAAAAGTTACCATGAGCAACCAAAAAAAACTGATATTTTATATACTATTAAGTTTTGAATTATGCACTTACTGTTGGTAGAAGGATGGAGCTCAATGACAAGCCCATTCCCCCACAGTATGTGACTTATCAGTGTTAATGTCATGACTCATCTTGTGTTCACAGGCGCCCAAGAAAGTGGCAAAGAAATCTCCAGCAGCAGCAAAGAAGAGGCCTGCCAAAGCTGCCAGTGTCAAGAAAGCTGACAGCAGCAGCACCAAGACAAAAACAACCAAGACAAGTAAAGGTGGGGCTGCTACATCACCCAGGGTTTAACTTGGAATGTTATACTCAGACCTCTTCATGCTATGCTAAAGTCCTTTTTTCTCTCTCTCATATTATTGTCGGCAAAAGAGGAATCAGAAGACAGTTCAGATGATGAACCCTTGATCAAGATTGTGAAAAAACCACCCACTGATGAGCAGCTAAAAGTAACAGTGAAGAAGTTATTGGACAATGCCAATTTAGAAGAAGTTACCATGAAGCAGATCTGCAAGAAAGTAAGTTTCCTAATCGTTTGTCTCTTTGGGAGAGGCATTACAATGTCTTTAGTGATTTAAGCAGATTTCTCAACTGCAGAATTCTAAAATCACTAAAGCTTTGTTTGCATTCATACAGATGTAGTACATGTTTTTGGTCAATGCAAATTCAGTTTTAAAAATTTGGTTTCACAAAAAAAACTTGTATTTTTTAAAATTAGGCATGAATCTCATCACTGGTGCTCACATTACTCCGTGGTATGGTCACTGCTTGTGGATGAAGTCCTCTGTGTTTAATAGAACTGCCTAAAATCCACCAAACTGACATTCTCAAACATCATTCCCTTTCAAATCTGACATTCCATCAACGTGATGTAGCTGAAAACGTGCTAAAAATGTTTAATATTTTCCTCAAAGGAAGCTGTTAGTAGCTGTTTTTGACTTTCAATTATCAATTGGGAGTATTAGGGCTACTTACGTTACACCTGCTGTTGCCCCCCAGGGAATGGGGGTGGATGCAAAGGTTTTATTGACCCAATATCAAGAGTGTTGCTGTCCAGAGAGAGTGGCCGGCTCACTGCACCTCGGGCAGAGAGCACGTTGGTACAGAGTAGGGCCACCCAGCCTGAGGTAGACTGACCAAGGAATCGGCAGCTGGGTTTCAAAAGCAGGGACCCCCCCCCCCAGGATAGTGGTCTCTTCAAAGGATTCAGCTCTTCAACTTGGATTCCTAACGTCCGGGCTTAAGGAGAAAGAGCCACCCGGAGTCTGCTGGGATCACCGGGGACGCAGGCAGGTGGACTGGAATTGGAATGCATGGATGGCAGGTGCAGGACAGGGAGAGCCACCAGGGTCCAGAGCTGTGCCTAGTCCAGAGGGATCCTAGCTCAGGGCAGAGGGGTCCAACCTTTGAGGCCGGGCCCTCAAAGTAGGGGTGGTCATAGAAAAGGTGTGCCGAGTGCTGGGTGCACCAAAGACAAGGCCAAAGGAGTCATCTGCTGAGGTGCAGGTCAAGAAGCTAGGAACAGAAGGACTATGCTGGGAAGCTGGTAGGTTGCACGTGAAGTGAAGGTGTCAATGCCAGATTTACAGGGGGGCAAAAGGGGGTTTACGTACCCCAGAGCACCTCTGAGTGTTAGTGTTATGTGAAATCCATGATATGGTGTAGTGTAGCAGTTGGGTGAAATGTAATCTTGTACATTTTACGGGTACTTTCAGCATTTTAATAAAGCAGTTCACTGTTACTTTGACATTTAAGTGAATCTATAGAGTTAACTGTAAATTGCATCTCTCTTTGTAAATACACACAGAGCTTTATATGAGCTCTGCTGTCAGCAGGAGCAGCAGTAGTGTCGCTCTGTGAAATAATGGAAGAAACCGACGCAGCTCAGGAGCAGCTGTTTCTTTAAGATGCTGAGACCCCACATTCAGGGATGTGTTAAATTTTTTATTGAAAGAAAGCCTGAGATTTTTAAGTTCCAGAGCTGCCAAATGTACTCCTAAGCTTTCTCAGTATGAATTTAAAAAATGAACAGCTGTTAAAATGTGGTGCAGCACTATAATGCTGCTTCCGGTTTCAGGGCAATTACAGTGCCCTCCAGAATTATTGGCACCCTTGTTAAAGATGATCAAAAAAGGCTATGAAAAATGTCTTTGTTGTTTATCAGCTTGATTTTACACTGAAAATATGATAGAAATCTTAAAGTTTCAGTGAGGTAAAATTATCCTTATAAATGTGAGGTAAAAAATCCTTATAAAAAAACATTTCTCAAAAACACGTCACAATTATTGGGACCCCTAGAAATTCCTATGAACAGCGTTAGATCAAGCTGATAAACAACAAAGACATTTTTTTATAGCCTTTTTTGCTCATCTTTTGCAAGGGTGCCAATAATTCTGGTTGGCACTGTAATTGAGAATTAAAACTTAATGTCTGCATCGTTTTCATGGCAGAGAGTGGTTACTAAAAAATAGGCAAATCCTACAGGGAAACATGCTTCAGTCACTCAAGAATCAAAAGCTGAGTTGAACAAAATCAGCAATACAGCGACTTGAAGCACAAGTGGTCAATGTCACAATGAATTGACAAAGATTACTTGAATGGCTCAGTCCAAGTCCAGATTTGAATCGGATAGAAAACATATGGTGAAGTTTGAGATTTGTGATCTATCAACTACCCTAAATGTGATGATGTTGGCGGGGGTATGAATACATTTATAAGGCACCGTATGTGTTATACTAAACTTAACAGTATATGTACCACTGTCATTTTTTGCTTACATTACAAAGCAAGACTACTCTGCAGGATTGATGCTGTAAAAAGAGTGCAAATAGGTTCCTTTTTACAGATCTGTTTCTCTTGGGTTTTGTTTTTTCTTGTGGCTACAGTTCTGTCCTATCAAGCTGGCTCCCTGTGCTCTACTTCAAATTGTCTTGTTTGGTTTATCCTTGTCTGATATGACAAATAGGTTTCTTGTTTCTTTATATCATATTTATTTGTGTTGTCAGAAAGTTTTTCTATAATAAGTATGAAAACAAAAATGCAGATATTCAAATTTCTCTGGTGTTTTCTGTTCACTTTAGGTGGCAGCTACTGAGTAGGATTTTCATATACATTAGGTTGAAGGTTGTTTACAATAAGATTTGTGCAAAACCTTGACTGAACTCTTACATTATCAAATCCAATCTGAAAAGCACAGGGAGTACAAGCAAGTCAAATGAAAAGAGCTAACAGTATCTCGTTGGGTCCTAAAAAGGGCAGGCCTTATTCACACTGATTGGTTCAGTGTTTTATATAACCTTAGTGCAGCCTTGTGTGTGGAAATGTGATCGTTGAAATCCACAAACCTGTTTCTCTTAACCAAAGCCATAAGTGAATCAGTGACGTAAGGTATATTAAAGGTATATATAAGTATTTTCTAGGACACGTGACAATTGTACTCTTAGCCAGCATAAAATATCATTTCCAAATCTTTCAGGTATACGAGAGTTATCCTGACCATGATTTGTCCAGCAGGAAAGATTTCATTAAAACAACAGTAAAGGAGGTGAGTATTTTGAGATTAAGATAAATCACGCAGCTTATAGAAGCAGAAGATTGTAACACTAACTTTTTTTAGGTTGACCGAGATGTGTAAAAATGCTCAGTTTTAGTTATCTTAATGTCGTGATGTTTGGGTAATACAATTGAACTTATTACATGTTCAGCCAGCTGAAATATTTTAAGTATATCCTTTATATTTTTATATTTTAATATTAATATTTAATATTAATATTTTCTCCATTTACTTGCAACAAATAAGATATCCTGCCAAGTCTGTGTTCTTTCATGAAACAGCTGGATGAGATTTGTGGATCAGTTAGCTACTAACAAAAAAGCTAGATGGTTGAAAGGCCTTTTCTGTTTTGTAACCTTACATTTGGAATTTCCCTGTTATTTATTGTACAGCTGTTTGGAATTTATGTTGGTTTTAAAGGGGAACTTATTGCTCTTGATTTTGAGACATTTAGGCTGACAACTACTAGTTTCTTGTTAACTGTACATGCAGATCATGTTGGAACATTTCTGCGGTGAAATGTCTGCTGCACAGCCTGTACTTATTCACTCGCACAGTGCCATTACATTAGTAATTACAGTGACTAGTAAGCAGGAAGGACCGCATCATGTCACAATTTGTGGGAATTTGAATGGACTTTGTGACAACATGGCGATTTATAGTACTTTCACAAGATTTTGTGCTTAATTCCTAATTGTGAATTTCAGGAATTAACAAGAAGTTCACAAAATTCCAAGATTTAATAAGCAGTCTGAGAAGTTGAAACTGCAGTTCCCCTTTAAGGAATAGCTCTTGGGCTGTAACACATGAGCATACTCTGCTGACATGCTGGCCTTTCAGAGCCATTTATCTTTTGATGCACTGAGAGTTTTCCAGTACCTGACTGGAGAGTTATGCCAATCTGACGAGTGATGCCTTTCTCTTTGACATCACTCCAAGTATGCAGGCTTCTGGCAAGTTGCGCAAGCCGCTGTCTGATAGAAAGCTTGAAGGCTCCCTTGTTGAGTCCTGTGTTGTCTGATTCTGTCTGTCCTCCCCAACCCATTTTTATGAGAACGCTACACATTTTTAACAGTATTTCTGTTGCAGCCAGGAAATATCAACCATTAAGAAAAGCAAGTATATACTGAACATATTGTACATTTTAGTCGCAAAAGTTTTTTCTGGTATAGTTTCTCCTGGATTTAACCACAGTTTAGATCCAAAAAAATAATCCACCCAATACATTTTCATCCTGCTGTTACTCAGGCTTCTGTATTTGGGCAGCTTTTTTTCCTTCCTGTTGCTTTCTTCTTTCTTTCTGTTGCTGTTTCTGATAGCCAAGATAGATTAAAAAAGGTCTGCAAACCTGTGCCAAAGGAAATATGAACAATTGACACGCATTTGTGAAATAGTTGGTATATTGTAATAGCAAAACAACAGTACCCAGAATGATGCAAGACACTATCTCCAGGGTTAGCCTTGGTTTTAGTCCCAGGGTTAATCTATTTGTGTGCCGTAACAGGGGGAATCCCAGTCACAGTTGAACAGTTTGGGGCATTACCCAGACTCAAACTAGCAATGTGATTTTAACCAGAGTTTTCCTCAGGATGTAAAATAGCTTACCATATATTTTACTTTTTCAGCTGATCTCCTGATGAAACATCTGGAACACCTGTGCTGTGAGCATAATGGGCGAAAGGAAAACCAGGATTTTTAGGAAGGATCACATCTGAATTTTTTAATACCAGCAAAGAAAAAGAATGTATTGACTTTGTACTTGTGTTTTAAGTATTTTAAAAACATGCTCTGTTCTTGTCTTAAGCTGCTCATGTAAATAGCTTCTTGTGAACTGTTTTTTCTAATGTTTTTATATTAGTTGGATGGCGGCCTTCATTACAGCTAAGCTTGGAACTTTTGTATTCTTACATGTACTTACCAGTAACTATTGAAAGAGGTGTAAATTTGAATATATTGGGCTATGAATAACCTGCTTGCTGTGTGGTTTAGGCACAGCTTTATTATTTTTTTCTGGATGCATATAGTTTTTAAAAAAGAGGGGCATGGGTGGCAGTGAGGAGTGTTACATGATGAGCAAAGCTGGGTCTACAAAGGGGGATTTTTCATTTTTCCAGACCTGAATGAGATGCTGTGTCAATCTGCTGTTGCATGGTTGACAGCCTTCTTTGTGTAAATTTGTTTCTGTGTATGTTGGGGGTGGCGTGCATCCCCCTTTTCATTCTCTACTAGCATGAAGTTGATGTTGAAATGGCAGGTCATTTGCAGGTGCCATTACATTGATTTAAGACAGGTGTTGTAGGATGATGGTTGAAATGGAAACCCAGCTGAAACTTGGAACTTGGTCTGTCTGACAAGCAGCAAACAGTGTATGATGGAGGCTTTCTGTTTGTAGATGCTTCTCGTGTTTGTAGGTGAGTTTTGATTTAATCGGAGTCTAATCTGAAATTGGAGAAGGGTTTAATTCCTGATTCCTATTAGCAAAAAATGATGCATGTACATTTGTAGTGCCATTCACAAATCAAAAAGGCATCTCTGTTCCCATTTTTGTATTTGCTTATTAGTGGTGTTTTTCATGTTGTATGTATACATGCAGTTAAGATGGAAGTCTAAACATGTTACCAACCATTAAAACATGCAGTTTTGTTTTAAAATGCTTTACAGCTGTTGCAACTATCTTTGTATCCATCCCATCTTTTGGTGACAGCACTTTGAAGTTGTCTTTTACATGAAAATGAATTCCATTTTGCTAAAAATGCCACATTTGTGATAATACTTGATGCCATACAGAATGTTTCTTTTAAGGTGGTGAGTAATGATTTAAACAGAGGACACCTTAAAAACATGGTCTCTAGGTGGCAAGATAAAGGGATGGGTTTGGCAGTGATGATTTTTCATTTTATCCTGGTTTAAAAAAACTTCCAATTGGAAATTTTGGATTTTATTTTTATACCAAAATCATTTGAATTGTTGAACAATAACTTGATCTTTACTTTTTATTAAAATCCATAAAAATGTGTTGTCTGCTTCTCTCTGGTGGAAGTGTACTAGTTCTGAATTGTCCATTATTTGTTTTAATGCTAGGGTTAAGGGTAAAGTACCAGATCCATTGAACTAGAAACAGCCTCATCACTCTGCATGTATATAATACTTGTGTATTTAAAATACAAAAGAAAAGGCTGCCAGTTTAATAAATCATCATGACCAATTTCTTCCAATGGCATGCTTTGATATTGCATTAATTGGTAATATAACTTTGCAGCAAAAAAACAAAATATGGCTTTAATGTTAGCCATGGGAACTATTTATTTTTCCAAACTCACATTTTCAATATTTGTAAAAGGTAAAGGCTCTGGAAGAGGCCAAGTCACTGAAAGATTATAAAGTGAATAACAAAAACTGAATTCAAACTTTCTTTAACTTTTTTATGAAATGTACAATTTTCATGTATATCATGAAAGGCCAAAGCTAATTCTATTTCAAAACTATGGTTTATAAAAATTATAAAAACTGGAAATTATATGAAAAGTAGAAAGTGCTACTTCAAAAAGCATACACTACCCCAGTTGGCTTTAAGCAGAATTAATGTTTTAATTTCTGTCTAGCTGTTAGGTACATTGTAGCCATAGGGATAGGGAGGGTATTTTACATGAACATTCATATTTCTGGGGGTTATGGATTCAACCACAATAGGTTCCTTTCCTTACAAGCTGGGAATAGTGTTGCAAACGGGCATCATGAATACTACTGGCACATTTAGAAATTAAATTACTAATAAACCAAGTTACCACTTACTAGTAGAAAAAGAAGGGCAACGATATAAAGATGACATGCAGTTAAGGTAATGCTGGATTAAATACTACCCCATTTAAAAACTATTTGAAATTTTGATCATAAAACCTTAAGTGCTGTACTCTACACTGAGCTTACCGTGACCATTTTAAAACGGTTGCATTACTTCACTCCTGGATGGCTGCAAGTTGGCATGTTTTCATCGCAGTTTATCTGAGCCTTATTGGTTCTGTGCAGACACATTTATGCCCTTAACCAGAAAGTGAGTTGATGTCAAGACAAATCCAAACAAAGCAATTTTGATCTTGTTGAGGAATGCTGACCTTCACATGCTGATGTGACATACATGGAATCAAACTGTTCCATGCTAAGAACAACAGCAAATAAATATGCATGTTTTCAAGATGACTTGTATTCCATGGCAAATAAAATCCTAGCCATAAATTTCCCTCAAGACTGCTGTCCCCTGCAACATTAAATAAGCAGTATCTGGTAGCAGAAGAGGAATACTCTGACATGAAAGCACCAGTCCCCATCTGTCCTGTCAGTGAAACTCATCAGCAAGTAGCTTATTCAGTCTAGGCAGTGCTGGACTGGCATCACTGCAAAACGTCAGTTGCGCTGAAGGCAGGTTTCCTGTTTCTTGACAGTTACAAAGCAGCTATTTTACTTGCTTCTCGTACACCACTTAAGTAAGCTCCTGTTACTGTCTGGGGGAAGTGTCTGTTGGTAGCCTGGAACATGAAGAAGGGAAAAACAGAATGAGAACTGTTAGCATTTCCCATCCATGCAAAATCACAGCAACAATGAAGCATCTTAGTGAAAGCAGAGTAGGTCCTGTGTTTCACTTCCAATTTTTAAAGTGCTTTACTTTAAAAAGCTGTAAAGCACTAGCAAAACTGCTTACTTTTGTGTCAAGTAAAATACAGTTTTGCACTTGTTTCTGACCATGCTGAATATTACATTTTTTTATATTCCATGTATCAGGACACTTCCAAAGGTAGGTTGTAGGTAGGTAGTTACTAGTCACCTAAGGCTTCAACAGCTGGTTCAGTTTGTGTGTGTGGATCAAGCAGATGTAGTACAGTATACTTGCTTATTCTGAGTTTTGCCAGGTATATTACCTGCCAAATCAGATTGTTACCCTACCTCCAGCCTCTTAGGTCATATGAGAGATGAAGTGGGTTAATTTAATATCATGAAAAGTAAGACTAAAATGGTGCATTTGCTGATGTAGTGTTCACTGACCAAAATGTTGTGTGGTTATTGTTGCACCCTCGAAATGTTTTGTTTAATTTTGAGAATTTTATTGCATACATTTCTTAGATTTAGGTCCTTCATATTTGGGCTGCCAGACTAAGTATTACACAACAGGAATATGTTAAACTTTGTACCTATGCAACCTTGATATAAACGAGATAGTTCTGCTAACACATTGCTTAGCAACAGGACACTTCATAAATATATTTCTCAGTTGGCTACAGCATGTGTGACATCCTGGAATTGTTTTTCATTCCTGTATCTCTTTACATTCATGTCTATGCTTACTGACACAGAAATAATGTTTATTCTCCTTTCAAATGACATGTTTCCTGCACTTTGCTTTGTAATTCCAAATTCAAATCTCTTTGATGTAAGCATAGGCTTAAATCTTTTGAGGTTTTTGTGCTGAAAGATTCAATGATCGACCAACAATAACAGTCACAGTAAACCAACAGAAGGTACAATCTTACTGTTGTCATTGTAAATATATTCAACATTTAAATATTAGGCAAAAACCTATGCTCGGTACATGTTTCTGCAGTTTCAAGTGAAGAATAAAATACGTATGTAAAACAATGTCATTTGTGGTTTCACAGGAATGGTGAAAAAAACATGTTAAACCCAGGAATGCTCAGTGATGGTGTTCTACTTCATTTGTACAAAAGACGGTACATGTGCTCCTTTAGATTAATTAATTTGCACAAAGAATATTGTGACATTCTGTTGTTAAAGAATATGCAACTTTGCATGAGACAATACTATTGCATATTGTTAAGGGTTAAGGTGACTGGGAAGTGTGTCTTGGATTTTACATAAAGTTTGTGACACCTGGCAGAGTAAACACTTCTAGGTTCAAAGCAGAGGGGATGGTCTGAGATGTGTGAGGGTCCCTTGAGCAGAAACAGACTTCATAAGTATTGTCTGGAGCTAAGTATTTGAACCTTGCAAGAGAGAGCTTGCTATTCTGTGTTTTTAAGGAATTTGGGTTTCCTTGGTAAAAGACACCTCGGTTAGAAACAGCTTTCCTGCTTAGGGTGCATATTTACAATAGGGAGATAGCCCCCCATTTATTTTGTTGCATCCAGGGTGCACTGTAGTTAGAAGGCACCTTATCTTTTATTTGGCCCCTGTAAGCATTAAGAGTTTAATAGTAGACATCTGGGGGATTTCTGGGTGATTAAGATGTTAGGCCACTGAAATGCCTTATTTGTACATACTGTACATAGAGTAACTTGTGTGTTGTATGTTTTGTTGTGTGTAGTTTAGTTTGTGTCTTGTCCATGTTAATAAACATTTGTTTAACCAAGTGTGCCTGGATTTCTGCTCTTTTCAACAAAGCTGTGCCAGAGTATTAAGAGTTCACATGCCTCTAATCATACCAACCGCTCAAATATATTCTGAAGAAATCACTTACAAGTTGGGGGTGAAATATTTATTTCACTTCTTGACTAAACTGCTCAGTCAATTCCTGATTTTCACAATTTTCGTAACCCCCCCCCCATTTGTAAAAATATATATTGCCTAATATATACTGATGGAAAAAAGAAACAGAACACCTCCTCCTCCACACTCTGGCACTCCCATCTGCGTGGAACAGGCTAAAGAGCGACTCATCCGTGAACGGACCCGATGCCACTGCTGACGAGTCTGTCTGGCACAAACCAGTTGGGTGTGACGTCTAGGAGGTGTGAGCAGAGGGTCTCTTTCAGGTCGCCTTGCTCTAAGGCCAGCAGAATGGAGCCTCACTGTCCTGTCCTGTCACTGATGCAGGCATTGTGTCTACTGGCAGTTTCACCAGCAGTATGAGTGGTAGATCTGAAATGATCTCTCAGATGGACAAGTTTGATGTGTCGGTCCTGCTCTGATGTGGTCACTTGAGGGCGACCTGATCTTGGACAATCATCTGTCCGGCCAGTCTGCTGAAACCTTCTCTGCAGTCAGGACACAGTGGAGCGGCTTACTCCATAGTGTCTGGGAACGCTGGCACATGACATGCCTGCCTGCAGCATGCCAATGGCCCTCTCCCTTGTTTCTGGTGACATTTGAGGCATTATGGAATGCCCAGAAAACTGACTAAGTGTGGCCTTTTTCTTGGTGTGACCTACTGTAAGCTTTGAATTAAGGCTTTTTTAAAGGTGACCTGATCATGCATTGTTCCACCTGGACCTCGTTACGTAAAAGTGCACCTAACGAGCTTTCGTGTGATTGGCAAGTTGCAAAGTTTCACTGCACAAGCTGTACTGCTGGTCAGAGGGTTTAAAACAAATTGACAACTTTTTGTGGAAGTACATAGGCTATAACTAGTATTCTCATTCCAGAAAAAGTTGCCTTTCTTTTTTCCATCAGTATATATTAGGCAATATTGTTTACAAAGTAATTATCACATTTGAATGCAATGTTAACAAACATAAAAAGAATCTTGTTTAAACACAAAAATTTATTTTCTCTGTGGTGCTAATAAACTTCTGCACAGAATAATAAACTTGAATTTAACTTTAGTATGCTTCGATGATAAGCTGTTCAACTCGTACAACTAAAATTTAGGTACTATTTTCAACATCTAATTGCAAGTGTGGTCTGAGTTTAAAAAAACAAATAATGGGAACGAGCTCCCATTCTATTAAAAAATTAAAACAGGTTAATTTTTTAGTTAAATGCATTTCTATTAATCACACTGATGTAATGAAAACATCTGAAGTTTTAAACTGACAACTGTCTGCACAGCAATGTTTTACTGGTAAATTATAGACTATGTTTATAGCCTCTTAGTAGTGTTTCTGATTTAAGAATGTTTTTTAAAGGAGTTTGAATGTTTTCTCCATGTTCACATGGGTTTACTCCCACAGTCCCAAAAAATATTTCCAGTTAATTGGCTTCTGGGAAAACTGGCCCTGGTGCCTGTTTGTCTCTGTGTACCCTGCCTTGCGCCCACTGCGTACTGAGAAAGGGCCCAGTTCTTCTGCAGCCCTGAATTGGAAGAAGCAGTTAGACGGATGATTTTTAAATTCTGTGCAAAGCTAGTAGGTGCCCAGGAAATCCCCAACAGAGTAAGGGATGTCACTATTTTCTGGTCCCAAATTAGTCCATTAATGTATGTGTTGTTTTATCCCTTTTTGCATTCATTCATTTAGCATACCTGTACCTACCTCCCCAGCAAAAAATACTTTGCCTTGGATATCCTCTGCTATAATGTCATAAGCCTCTCCACTCCCTCCAGTCTTCACAAAGCTATAGGCCATCTGGGACCACATATCCTGGCTCCAGCGCGTGACAAAGTATTTCATAGGGTCTGGGACTTCCTACAAATGACAAGGTAGATGGGCTTGATTATACTTTTCCTACAGTGTCAAATCCAATATTTTTCCATGCCAAATCTATGTGTAACACTTTCTCAAAATCTAATTTTTGGGGATATCAGGGTAGCTTTACAGCTTTGCCTCACGGTTTTTCATCATACCGAAATCATTTACTGAAGACATTTTCTCGAACACAGGAATAGCTGCCCTACGTTACAGTTTCACTAAGAGTTTACAAGTTTTCAATTAATCAGCCCCCTACCTCCAGGGGTTTACTGTAATTATCACCTTAAAATACTGTATATATGTAGCAGAACATCTAAAATGTTCCCATTTCTAGGGCCACCAAGGTTCGGCAGTCCTGTTTTATAGAGAAATGCCATTAGTGAACAGTTGTGTAACTACATCATTAATCTTCTGAGCTACAGTAAATGTGAATATCGGGTGTCTGCCACCCTTTGAGCAGACAGCAATGTATTTAGGAACAAGTAAGAGGTTTATTCCATGCTGAAAAAAAGAAGAAAGAGAACACAACGTTT